AACATCATAATCATTTACCCAGCAAACAATCAGGATGTCACTAACAAAGAATTATGACCTTAGGTGGGGGATAAAATACAGGCAGAGATGAACTCTGAGGAAATAAAGATTGCTTTTATGAAAATGTGGCTAGCAATAAATAACCAGAGACGAAAATTATGCTGAAACAGAATATCCCATAAAAACAGATTTGGGGAGGTATAAATAGTATGTTTTTAAAATTTCTCCTCTCTGAAAAATACCATGCACAGAGTGTTTATAAAGCACCAGTAGAATTTTAACACTTAAAATCTCTGAATTTTTAAAACAGAAGAAATCTATAAACATAGTGAACAATGTTTCAGAAATATTTTTAATGAGATGAATTTAGATATTTAGCTTTAAACATAAGTGCCAGCTTTATACATCATTCAATCTAATCACCCTGCTCATTGAAAGCATTGTTTTTGATATTAAGTGATTTTTGTGAATCATTTATGTCAACTTGATTCTGAATTCACTAACTGACCCATCCATTAATTTTCCTCTTGATTCAACAACTCTACCCTAAATTCATAAAAAGTGATGATAAACATGGCAGAGCAAGTTCCAGTGCCTAAAGTGTTTCACATCATTACTGCCTTTGATTCTCACCACATTCTTCTGAGCTAAGTAATGTCAGGATCTTTTTCTCCAATGCATGAGGAAGAAACACTTTCAAATAAGTGATCTGCCAGTTAGTAAACAGTGTTAGCTGATCACCTGTTTCTTCCTCTACATACATCATGCTGCCTTCCCCTGGGAAAAGTTAGGGACTGAGATGACTTATCAGTTAGATCCTGATCATTCATACATTCATTTATCATTGATCACCATCCAGTCTAAATTAGGATTATGCTAAGAGGCTAAGTGTATAATAGTGAACAAACGAGACATAACAATGAAATGTGTAGTCTAATTGGGAGACATACATTCAATAAATAGACAAATTAATAATTATAGGTACCATGAAGGGAAAATTAGGATGCCATTAAAAAATAACAGAAAAGTACAAAAGAATTTAGATAGAAAGTAGAGGAAGTCTCTATATTTTGGAAGTTTAGAGAAATATATAGCATGTGGCCAAAAACAGGATGAGATAAACATAGCTCAAGATCTTTCCAACAATTGAATGATAGGGACAAAGAGAAGTGTGTTTGTTTCCTTGTTGTTATTGTTTTTTTATGAATCAAGGTGCTAGTCAAAGTATCAGAATCATTTTGTAATATTCATTTGTTCAAAAACACTTTTCTGTCTGCCACACAGATAAGGCACAACATTAAGTGGTAGTGTACCCTTGGCCTGTGTTAGGTGCCACACCAGATGTGAAGGACTACATGTGAAGGACTTCAACAAATATCGAAGAGATTAAAATTATATATATATATTGACTAGCACCTTGATTCATAAAAAATATAGATATTCCTAATATGCAAATAGACCAAACTGCAGGACAACCAAACTGAACAACTGGTCGCTATGATGCACGATGACCACCAGGAGGTGTGCACGGAACATGGGATGCATCGGCCACAGCAGAATGGTGGAGCAGGTGAGTGGGGGCACCAGATGTGAAGGACTACATGTGAAGGACTTCAACAAATATCGAAGAGATTAAAATTATATATATATATTGACTAGCACCTTGATTCATAAAAAAACAATAAGAATTATTTGCTCCCGAACGCCACGGTCCAGCCCGGTGCTCACACCTGCTGCCGGCACCCACATCTGCTGCCAGCGCCAGCCCCACTTGCACTTGTTGCTGCACTGAAGCCTCTGCCAGCGCCCGGTGCTGTCAGTGGGTGGGAGTGGTGGCTGCCCACCCCAGTAACCCCTGAGGGCCTCTCCACCTCCCCCTGTTTCTGAGGTACTGTCAGTGGATGGTAGTGGTGGCTGCCGTCCCCACTCGCACCTGCTGCTGGCACCAGCCCCAATCGCTCCGCGCCATCAGTGGGTGCGAGCAGGGCTAGCATGTGGGAGTGGTGGCAGTGGGAGCGGGGCTGCCTGCAGACACAGGACCAGGGTCCGTGGCAGGAGGGGCTGGGCAGGGGCATGGAGTATGGGCTGAGACCTGCCCCTGTGCCCACGGCAGCCTCACAACCTACAGTTCCTTTCAAGGTGCATGAATTTGTGCACAGGACCCCTAGTCAAATATAATTTAATGTCAATTTGTTTCCACCATGTGTATGTCCAGAACTGTAAAATTACAAAATTTAATAAGCCTATTATACCACCAGGCAAATCTGAGCATAAACTACTAAATGCTAACATGCATGTAATATCATGTGGTTGTTTATCTAATAGTTGTGACAGGCACACCCTCCTAACTCTAGTAGCAGGAATATGGCTATGATGTACCTGGAATATCTGTAACTCAATTCCACAGTCAGAACTGGATGCATGCTTTATACAGCAATTTTAAACTTGAGCTTCAAAATGAGAGAACACATCGCAGCCGCTTCAGGCACAGGCTCTAATCTTATTTAGTTTTTATTTCCTCATTAGACTAATGGCAAAGGAATTAAGGAACTTTCCTAAATGTGTGGTTATGGGAAGCAAATAAAGACAGAAGGGAGTCTGATCTGCTCTGCAACGAGGACCCTCATGTTTCATTTCAATGCCATATTGCAAAATAAATGACAAAGTCAATGGTCCACTCTTCATCTCAAATTCTGGCCAGAAATGCACTGATGACATCTAATTATCAGCTTAATTTCTTATTTTAAAATTCTTCTGTTGTAAAAGGCAATGTCATCTTATAAAATGTCTTTCTGAGCTTGTTCATGAATGACTCAAGCTATGAGTGAAAACACAGAAAGAATACTGGTGGTCTTCTTCCTTAATGAGAATAGAAAAACATCTTCCACTTTGTCTGAGAAAAACATGAGTGTTATAAATTGCATCCAGAGGAACAGTCTTCTTCATCAGAACTATAAGGATGACGTTGTCTCAGGGCACGGGAGTGTAGGGAGAGTCAAGACACGTTAAACCTGAGCAAGCATGCTAAAAAGAAAAATAATGTATTTGAACAGGCAATCCCCATTTTAGCTACAGATAATTCAGAAAGCTAGCAGCCTTGGGACAAGATGCCAGGAGGTTTTTGAGACAAATGATGAAGATTCAAGGGTGACTCACTGTTGTCTCTACAGGATTATGATAGAGGAAGTGCCCAGAAGACAGTAAAAATACTGGAGAGTCACACTCTTATTTTTAAGATGTTTCTTTTGTGAAATTTTTTATTCTGATAGTATGGTTAACTTTGCTGATTTCTTATTGTTCATTCATGTCAATTACTTTGAACAAAGGGCATTTTTAGATTTAACGACACACCAATGGCTATAGGTTTCTTCATCATTTTCTATCCTTTCAGTAAATGATGTGTGTGAATGTCAGTACAATTTATCGGTGCCGTGGAAAGAGGATCAAAGATGAATTTACACTCAACCACCATCTGTCTTGTGTACGGGTTTACTATCCAGAATCACAGAGAAGACAAAATGATGGCACAACCAACCTGCAGGGATATTTTTCTGATAAATCCATGGACTCCTTAAAGGGAAGCCATTCTAAAAAGTCGGTAAAAGTCTCTCTCCGGGTATTCTTCTGCTCTTGAGAACCTGAATTCTCAGTTCCTATAAAACGTTGAACACCCACCAACCCCAGTAACTGCTATTTTCACTGGCTATCATAGCAGTCTTTCCAAGTAATTAGGGTTCTCCAGAGAAAAAGAATCAATTGTGGAGTCTGGCAAATCCAAAATCTACGTGGCAGCCTGGCAGTCTGGAGACTCAAGAAGAGTTGATGCTGCAACCTGAGTCTGGAGGAAGTCTGAAGGCAAAATTCCCTCTTCCTTGAAGGACCTCAGTCTTTCTTCTCTTAAGGCTTTTAAACTGATGGCATGAGACTGGACAGTCATCTGTTTTATTCAAAAATCTACTGTTTTAATTGGTAATCTCACCTAAAAATACCTTTGCAGAAATAGCTAGAATAATATTTGACCAAATATCTGGGTACCATTGTCTAGCCAAGTTGACACATAAAATTAACTATCACACTGTCCCTGGCCCTCCTAAAATAACATGCTTTGGGGGCCTTTTGCGTGTGTGTGTTTTACTAGAACAGAGAACAAAGTATTATTTCCACCTTATTTGGGGTCCCTTTTTTTGTTTTCTAGCAGCAACTTTTGAAGCTATCATAACTTCTATAAATGCCAAAACACTAACAGAAAAAAACAAAAAATACCTATAATTATCAAAATAAAAAAAGGATTCCAGACACACTTGATGATACTGCCAAGTATTCCTTGGCCCTCAAATGTGTACTCTTACTGATGACATAACTACTTAAAATCTAATTTGACAATTAAATATTATTTTAAATGTAATTATGTTGTAGTCTATGGTAGGTTCTATAAACACTGATTTAACTGTTATCTATAATAATAAAAGCATAATATACTAATTAGCCCAGACATCCTTCTAGATGACCTTCCGGATGAAGCCTGGGCTTTGAGGGAAGCCCGGGTCCTGGGTGCCAGAGGGAAGCTGGTGCCAGCAGCCGGTGGAAGAAAGGCCTACTCTGCATGAATTTCATGCATGGGGTCTCTAGTTTATTATCCTATATATTTTACTGATTTCAGAGAGAAAGGAAGAGGGAGAGATAGAAACATCAATGATGAGAGAGAATCATTGATCAGCTGCCTCCTACATGCCCCTCACTGGGGATCAAGCCCAAAACCCGAGCATGTGCCCTGACCGGGAATCGACCACAACCTCCTGGTTCATAGGTCACGGTCAACCACTGAGTCACACCTGCAGGTAACTATTACTTTTCTAAACTCATAGGATCTGCAATATAGATTATTGTTTGATACACAATATATTAGTTGGAAGACAAAGTTCTTAAACTTTTAATTTTACTAACTTTTATGAGTCTGAAAATCTTGAAATACCAGAAACATTAATGAAAATCTCCAGCACTAGAGAAGTAATTTCTTGGTTACTTTTATTAGTTGTTAACTTTTTTTCCAATTACTTTGGGTACAAAAAGTAAAAAGTGAAGAACAAATGGCCCTTAGGTGCTCTTCGGCCATGGTAGTGTGATGACATGTTGCTTGTCAAGAAAGTCCTTCTCCTCCTCGTCCTTTCTGTTTTCAGAAAGTGTCAGGAAAGACTGAATCTCAGTATCTTTTACAGAAAAGCTGGAAATACATTAAAAGATCAATACACAATATACAGAACTAGGTTTGAACTCTTCATTTATCTTCTGATCAATACTACATACGTAGAAGTCACTGGAGGCAGGCAGATAGGAGGGGGCCGCCTCAGACAGGGGCCATAATTTTCAACATGCCCAATATACCAAGCCTCCTTTTAATGAGAAATTCTCATCACTTTCCCTCTCCCAACAAATAAAGTCACAGTGGTACCAAGGAGAGAAGGTTTTACAGTCTCTGACTGTGTCTTTCACCGATGATTCAGAAGGCACTTTGGAAACTTGCTGAGCCTCGGGGTCAACATTAAGGACATTCATCATTACATTGGCTGTTTAATAGAATCCCAATGCATGTAGACTGCCAGATAAATCAACTCTTTTGTGTACAGTAAATTAGGACTATGTGGATAGCCAGTCAAGATATGCCAAAACCAGAATGAATGACAATAATTATTGAGTTATTTTATTTTTTTGTGTTTTATTGTGGAGAGGCAGCTCTGTTGGAGGCTCCAGCATGTAAGATTCCAGAGTGGGAGAAGAGGTAGAGTGGGGAACAGTTGGGGGCCTGAACCACTCAGATGTTTTGGTTTAAATAATCTCAATTGTCAGTCCATGTATGGCACTAAATATAAAGTACTTGCCTAACCTTCCATGATGGATATAACTGTTCTTTGGATTTTTTTTTTTTATGTCCAACACTGGCTAAATAGCAGAGCCTACACTCTCGTCTGTGAACCAGTGCAGATCTAACTGTGAATAAAAATGTTCACTGGTAATGGCATTTTCATGACATTCTTAGTTTTAAAGCACAGTGTTTTATTCTGTTAATGTGTTCCCCTTACGTTTTTGTACTAATTGTTCTTTATTTTATGAAACGGTAGTGACAGTAAGTGGTAGGTTTCTTTTATCTTTAATTACTTTGGTAGGGGTTGGGGGAATGGGAACTTTAGATTTATCCCTTTTAAAAATAAACTTTTAGTATTAGAAATGCAAAAAGCCAAGGACCACAGCTAAATTATCTCCTTCTTTAAAAAACAAACAAACAAACAAAAACTCGTGCTTTCCTTTTACTGCAATATCAGACTTCAAACCAATCAAAGAAATTTATAATACAAGGGGCTTTTATTTACATTTATCGCAAACCTATGAGAAACCCTCCTCTTTTTAACAAGGAGTTCCAGTATGTCAATAGTAGAGTGACATGGTAAACTACATTTCTTAAGCATTTATTAGTATATTAGTATATTCCCTATAAACTGGTCACCATTCCTAAAAGCTCTTACCTTATGTGAGGAACGAGTAAAATGGTAACAAACTGAATTATGCTATCATCAACAACATGGAGTTGATTTCAAGAAAGAAACCTCTCAATATTGTATTTTGAAAACTTTATTCACATTGAGTAAGATTCTACTAATGCAAAGTATTAAAATTTATTTAAAATTAAAAGTATTAGGTTAATTAATGAAGGTAAGGCAACTGCTTTTCAATTTAAAAAGAAATGCCAGGTGGTTATTGAATTCCAGTTTTTACATTTTTCTGACATGTTTTACAGCAGAGAATTATATACTTATGCAATATAAGTAATTGTTATACTTTATAATAAAGCAATGCCTTCATAAGCCTTTTACTAAATCCCTACAATAGATCAGCAAAGGACACAAAAATTTTACACGAATAGCCATATCAAGTACACACATGGGGACAATCTTTCTTCATATGGCGAAGAGAATTAGTTGGGGCTTGTCCAAATTGTTACTATGCATTATGTTTACATATAACCTACCTCAGTTCCTTAATTCCACAAGGGTCCCTGGAATGTGAGGTCTGAAAGAAATCTAGGGTAGCCTGACTTAAGTTCAGCGAATCATTGTTGAAGGCTGGTGACTCTTCTGAGATTAGGCTGTAACTTTTTTCCGAAGGATCTGAAATATTTTATTTCATGAATTGTCAACACATAAATTCAAGAAACAAATGCACAGCATATGGCTCTGACATTGTATCCAGAGTAAACTATAAGTAGTATAAAGAGGATCATAGATGTTGTATCATCTCTAAAGTTTCTACTGTTTGTAGGATGGTCACAGAATGAGGTAAATTTGTTTTGCGATTCCAGATTAGGGCATGGGTATCAAGTCACTTTAACCATATTGGTTTTTTGTTTAGCAAATCCGCCAATCTTACTTTTTAGCTTAATTGGGATATATTTGACATGAAACATTTTTTTTAAGTTTAAGGTGTACAATGTGTTGATTTGAAACATATATTGTGAAATGATAACCACCATAGTGTCAGCTAAAACCTCAATCACATCACATAAATGCCATTTCTTTTTTGTGGTGAGAATATTTAATAACTACTCTCTTAGCAACTTTCAAATATGTTATACAGTAATATTAATTACAATCCCCACCTGTATGTCAGATACTTAGAACTCCTCATCTTGTACTTTTTTTATCAACATCTCCCAGTTTTTCCCACCCTGAAGCCCCTGGTAACCACCATTCTAGTTTCTATGAGTTTGGCTGATTTAGATCCCCCATGTAAGTGATATTATATAGCATTTGTCTTCTCTGTCTGACTTATTTCAAACAGCCATATTAATTTTACAATATACATTATACCTAAAAGTATCCAATGCCCTGAGAATTCATAAAATTACAAAGAAAACCAAGTGATCCTCTTAAAGCTAGAATATTGTCAACTCCTCAACTTATCTGAATGTTAAACACTTTATTATCCCTTTTTGTCTTCTAAGGAATAAAAGCTTTACCTCCATACAGTGGGAGGCAAATGTTAGTCTTGGCAAAGTTGCTCTTTTGTGTTTGTTTTTGCTTCTAGAGGGGTAAGGGGTGATCAGGCAGGCACCCAGAGGTAGTTAGGGGTGATCTGGCAGGCAGGCAGAGGCAGTTAGGGGCAATCAGGTAGGCAGGCAGGTGAGCCATTAGAAGCCAGCGGTCTTGGATTGTGAGAGGGATGTCTGAGAAGGGTCTCGGATTGGAGAGGGTGCAGACCAGGCTGAGGGACCCCCCCACCCATGCATGAATTTTATGCACCGGGACTCTAGTCTTTATATAAACTACCAAGAAGTCAAGTATAAAAAGAAATGATTACTATATCATAAAGGCCAAAATGCCTTCTCTCTGTCATTGATACAATTCTAAGAGTCATCTAACTTGTACATAAGGTTATGCTGACTTTTAAAATTGTTAAATTCCTGGGTGCTCCTCTTCCCTTCATTCTGATGACAGTGCCAATAAACACCCTCCTGATCAGAATGACCAGACACCAAACTGAAAGGAGTTTTAGGGATAACATATGGCAGTTTAGGGAGATTTAGAAATAAAGAGGATCTATGGGAGAGGAAGGCATAGGTGAGGGCTGGGAGCTGCCAAAGGCATACATTCACAGAGAGAGAGAAAAGGTGCCAGGGATAAGGGGAGAGGAAGACATCCATTCACAGAAGATAAGGAAAAGCCATGGGGTATGGGGAGAAAAAAGAAACAAACTTTCACAGAGGATAGAGAAATGCCAACAAGTGGGAAAAAGAGGAAAACAGATTTTCACAGGAGACAGAGAATTCTACCACTGGAGGGGGAGAGAAAGGGAGGTGGGTACCATGTGGGGTTTGGGCTCTGAAGCTGATATTCTGCAAAAGAGTGACCAATGAGAAGGGAATATCAAGAGACAAAGAACTGCAGACTTTATAAACCTTAGAAAAAAGGAGCTTCGTGGGTCACCCCCTTGGAACCTCCTCCCTAGTGGGAGTCTGTACTTGCTTCCAATAAAATTCCACCCTTTCA